TCGGGTGTCAATTTGAGAAGCTTTATCAGAATATTGTAGCCAATACATTGTTCATGAGTTTTCTGTCTTAACTGTTGGCTGACTGTGACTGACACTTACGTAAGCATTGCTACTTTTTCAGATCCCTTGCAGTTATCCAGAGATAAATTCCCCAAACTTACGATTCAAAGCCAAGGTGCTTGCAAGCCACATTTGCTTCATTCATAGTCCACTCACCATCACATACAAAAATGTAGTTCTTTTGATTCATAGGTTTTACTCGAAGCAAATTTGAATCTCCATGGCCCACAGAGATTGAAAATGTTTCTTAAAAAAAAAAGAAAAGAGAGAAAAAAAAATCCCCAAATAAAATCATTATATAAATGTATCTAGTGGAAAGACAGCACAGAAACAAATCAGGACTAATTTTGTATCGACAGCCAGAGTTCGTAGGGGAAGAACAGTAGATTGGGAATCAGAAGCTTCAGGCATTATTCCACATTTTTCTGAGGATTGACTTTGTGGCTTTGAGCCTGCCACTTTTTCAGAATATACCAGTTTCAGGACAAATGAGGGTAATGACTCCTATCATGTAAGAGTACCTGGAGGTCTACCAAGGAAAGGTTGCATCTTAGTATGATGACTTCCATTAGAGGACTTTTGATAACCAACCAGTAACACTTCAATTGAGATGGCCAGATCCTGCTTCTATGACCTGTGTAGCAAAACTTCCGCTGTTTACAGTGGAGCTAAGGTCCTCAGCTCAGTGAAGCCGTATAGAGAATGCACCAGGAACACACAGGGGCTCTCCGCTCCTTTTCAGTGGAATAGGCAGAATTGAATTTTGCCACCCTGAGGGCGATGGGCTGAGCTGCTGCTTCTGTGGGGAAAGGGAGGGGTGGTACCCAGAGAGTGGGCAGGAGAGCCCTGGGCCTGGCTTGCTGCTCCTGCTGCCTTGGGTGAAGGTGGGGCTGGAGGACGAGTAGGAAGAGCAACCGCTACTGCTGAAAGGGGCCACCCACCTAGTTAGCAGGAGCCACTTCTCCCTGCACTCAGACGGAGGCTGAGCTGACAAAGCAGAGTGGTGCAGCCTAAAAAGCAGGTGAGAACAAGCAGCTGCTTGTCAGTGCACAAAACCACCGCTGGTTTGCAGGCCAGTAGCTTTCTGTTTTGATGAAATCCACAGCATGAAGATGATAGAGATGAACATGGCTTACCTTCTCCCCGTGCACTCCCACATGCACCTCAGCAGCCTGGCTCCATTCCTTGGACTCTTGCTCCTGTGAGGTCTGTCCCTCTTCAGAAGATCCCTCTCTGCTAATGTTCTCAGCAGCCCCTCTCCTGCTGTGCCTCCCACCATAGTCAACACCCTGCTTGGAAACCTTTGAGCTCTTTCCTTTGTCTATTTCTCCCCTTTCTACCTGATGATTTGAGCAACATACCAGCAGTGGAGTGACCTGGGCCTGTCAATCACTTTATTTTTATGAAAATCAACAGATACTCCCCATTTTCAATGACTTCTCATTTTCTGTGTCATGGTCTTACTAGTGCAAGGAAAGGAACAGACTTTCTGAGCTGTTGGCCACAAATGACTGACTGAAACGTTCTGGAAAAGGAGGTGTTAATACCTTCAGACATGCATTTTCCCTTGTGCAGAAACTTTGCTTTGGGTTGTTGACACTCGTAGCTCTTTAGGTGACAGTAAGTAGGGAAGTACCTTCCATTGGTAGAACAAACTGAAGAGCCATTCTTTGGGCACTGGTAGGGAAGCTTACAAAGGCATTTTCCCTCCACACATCGTTCCCATGGGTGACAAAAAACTTTCTCACAGGATTTGTGTGTGTATTGGTTGCTTAAGCATTCTTGTATGAGGTAGGTGCCTTGCTCAGCTGGTGCGGCAGGCTCAACCTGCTGAAACTGGTTTTCTTCAGCATAAGATGCTACATTCTGCAAGGCACAAAATTAAAAAAAAGGGGGGGGGGGGAGTAAGACTAAGAACTGCACCGAGAGTTCTGTAGATCCCTTTACTGACCTCAACAAAGTGTTCATTCATAAGCCTTTTCCTATCTTACGAGCACAAAGCTGCTAAATATCATTTATAGTGATTATTCCCTTGTCTTTGGCCAGCTCATCTTTCTCAGTTTTTCTGTTTTGTTTTGGTTTTTTTTTTTTTTCTTTTGGATCATTCACCTGGTATGATCTTCACTCTTACTGGTATTCCACAAACTTTTGTTTGGGGGAGTGGGAACTCTTCGAACATCAGCTGAAGCACACAGCAGATTCTAAACATTTTTTAAGCTAGTGGTTTACAACACACCACAGCAATGGGATAGTAAGCAAATCAAAACATAAGCGGACTTAAACACCAGAAAAACAGAAAAAATAGCAACTTATTTTTTTCTGAGATGTTTTTATTGGCTTGGTTGGCTTTGGGTTTAAATATCACCTGTAAATATTTATGAACTACATAGAAGCAAATAAATCTAAAAATTAATGATTTGCTTCACTGTGTGACTGCTGAAGTAACAAGTATCTTAAAGAAATTTGAAAAATAAGTGCCCTTCTTTATCAGCTTTTTTCCTGTATCTTGCACAACAGTGCATTTGCAGTGTGGTTGCTGGTCATCACTGGACTGCAAGTACAGATTCTGACCCTCCATCCAACTGCCTCTAGGTGACTGACTCTGCACCTGTGTTTGTGCAGCTCTCTGGTGACTTCGTTGCTGGCTGAGTGCTTTTGCTTACTAAGATCTACGGGTAGGAAGAATGTTGAAACATGAAAAATATATAGGGATAGACTTTGCATAAAAATGGGAGAGAAAAGTCCTCAAATGTGATTTATCAGCTTTGACTGTGTCAACTGAATCAACAGAGCTGAAGTTTAAAGTTCTTGTGAAGAAATCCTGGCCATACTAAAGTCAGCAGGAATGTTGCTGGGGCAGAATTTAGTCCAACAAGCCCCCCTTTAACAGTTGTATAAACTTACTAACTTCTTCCTGCTGTTCTCAGGTCAGTACAATCCAAACTGTGAGCCAGATCCGGCTTGGCATAACTCCAATATGGTACTAGAGTTTCTCCTGAATAGGAACAAAAGGTGCTGATTTTTATCTAAGGGTTTCTCCAAAATAGTCGGGGCATGCTGAACGCTCAGCCCAGATGGGCTTTCTGGGACACTTCTGCCAGAAGACATTCCGCAGCAAACCTTCACGCAGTGCGATGTACCATGTTGCTACGTTAGAAGGCTGGAATCTCATTTCTCAAAAATGGGGGGGCAGGGAAAATTGCAGCACCTTTCTGTGGTCACCCATGCTTGCAAATTGGGTTTAGGATTGGATCATGATTAAAATCTTTTCCAGAAGCCTGTTGGCGTAAATCCCAGATAAAATCAAGACACGCAAGAGAAATAGCAAGCTCTAAACATTCAAGCTGGGCTAAAACAAATGTGTGCAACACAAATACTTCGAAAGGAAACTTTAAAAAAGCAACTGGTTTTGCCTTTATAACAATAAACTGCTTTTAAACTTTTTTTTTTTTTTTAGAAATAAATTGCTGCTACCACAATAAAATAAATTCTTACCTCTGATCCACAAAACCAAGAGAGAGACAAGAAAACCAAGAAAACCGGGACCACTGGCATGATGAAATTTTATCTCTCTTTTAGACAAATTCCTCTGGCTGGGATTCTTTTGAATGTCAGTTGTTAGATTTGAGTTTAATTTTTAACTGTTAGTAAAATATTTCAAAGCGTGTTTAGAAATAAAGTACAGAAGCCTCAACTATTAACTGATAAACCGGATCTCTCCAAAAGAGAGAGATCAATTTAACTGGTTTTACTGTAAGTGCAGGACGAGATAACAAAAGTAAAGCCCTTAAAGTAAATGATTAAAAGGAAGCACTTATGAAGGAGACACGTTTCTTTTGCCAGAGAGACTGATCCAGTCATCACGCTGGTTCTCCCGATGGCAGGCATTCATCTTTGCCAGATTATTGTAAGAGATAAGTATGCTTTTATGTGTGTGTGAGAGAGAGGTGTCTTCATCCATATGGAGAAGCACTCATATCCACGTCGCGGCCACTGCATACTCGGCGGGCTTACAAACCCGCACTGCGCGATTTGTGTGGAGAATTTTCAGACAGACGACCCGAAGCACTCTTCCCGAAAGTCAGTTTCCAGGAACGCTGTCGTTAAAGCCAGCAGAACCAAAGCATCCCCTCCCCAAATCGCCTCGGGCAGGGGATTTCGCCTGAGGGAGAGGCGCGCGCCCCCCCCTCCCGCCCCCGCCGCCGGTTCCGCAGCCGCGCGCTCGGACCGAAGCCGACGCTCTTGATGGCGGCACCCTCCCGCCGAGGAGGCGACCGCGGCGTCAGACGGCAACAGCCGGAGCAGCGAGCGAGCGAGCGAACCAGCCAGCCAGCCGTCCGCCCGCCCGCTCGGGACGCCAGGAGCCGCGGCGTCCCAGCAGAATGACTTGCTTTGGGCTCCTTTTGCGACGGTGCCGCTTGGAGCCGGTGCCGTTTACATTTACGGCAGGCAGCCTCGCTTCCGGCAGCGTGGGCGGTTTCCCGGTGGCGGCGCGCCCGCGTCTGTGTGTGTGGAGGTACGCCACGTGCGAGGGGGTCGGGCTGGAGACGCGGCAGGGCGCGGGACGGGGGGACGTGAGCCGTTAGCGGCCGTTGGCCCTTCCTCAGCGGCCGGGGCCGCCGC